TGAGTCTGGGGGTGTTGGCGCTGGTGTTTCTACTGGTACTTGTGCGTCTGGGGGTGCTGCTGAGGTAGCTGGTGCTGACGGTCCTACTAGAGATGGTGCTGCTGGAGCTGGAGCTGCTGGGGGTGTTGGCGCTGGTGTTTCTACTGGTGCTGGTGTGTCTGGGGGTGCTGCTGAGGCAGCAAGTCCTGACGGTCCTACTAGAGTTGGTGCTGCTGGAGCTGGAGCTGCTGGGGGTGTTGGCGCAGGTGTTTCTACTGGTGCTGACGGTCCTACCAGAGTTGGTGCTGCTGGAGCTGGAGCTGCAGGGGGTGTTGGCGCTGGCGGTGCTTCTGGCGCTGGTGCTTCTGAGGGTACTGGAGTTGGCACTGTTGGAGCTGGAGGTTCTGCTGGCGCTGGTGCTGCCACTGGGGGTACTCGTGCCGTACTTCCTGGTTCTAGAGGCGCTGCGCGGCCGAGGCCGTACTTCGTTCCGCTCCTGGAGCACGTTCTTGGTCTCCCGCCCTCTACTGGTCCTGCTCCTCCCCTAGAGTGTCCATCACCCGTCCAGTCGCAGTCACAGTTACCGCCCGCCTCCCCTCTACCTGCTCCTTCTCCCTACACTGGTCCTACTGGAGGTCTTGCTGAGCGTCGTGAGCGTGCGTCTCGTCCCGCGTCACCTGTTTGTGCTGCTCGCACTAGTGGTCGTACTACGCGTCCGCGTCCTCCTGCGATCCCCGGCACACACCAGATGGCACTGCGTCCTTCCAATGCTCCTCTGCGTGTCCCGTTGCCGTCTCCTCCAGGGTCCTCTCTTCCTTCTCTTGCTGACCCGGAGTCTGACTCTCTTCGTGCTGCTAGTCTTTCGGTCACGCGCCTTCTTGCTACTGTCGTCACCGACCCTTCCTTTGAGTCTGCTGCTGCGTCTGCTCTCGTTGCTGAGCTTGTCGACTTTGCTGCTCGCTGTCGTCTAGACTACGCTACCAGTCTTGTTGCTGAGTCTGAGTCTGTCTGTCCTCCGTCCGTCGGGGGTGAGTGTGCTCTTAGCACGGACGTCCTTGAGGATAGGCAGGAGGAGTTCCTATGCTTTGCGGCTGCTTTGCTCCATCTCGTGTCCACGCTGATTGCCCCTGAGGGAGACCCGGATGCACCAGACATCTGGACTCCTCGATCGCACGCTAAAGCGACCAAGGGTCCCTACTCCTCTAAGTGGCAGTCGGCCATGGACGCAGAGATGGCTTCCTGGAAGTCCACAGGCACCTACGTCGACGAGGTTCCCCCACCTGGGGCGAACATCGTCTGTGGGATGTGGATCTTCAGGGTGAAGCGGCCGCCGGGCTCTCCGCCTGTCTTCAAGGCGCGTTACGTGGCTCGAGGCTTCAGTCACTGGCAGGGAGTTGACTTCTTTCAGACCTTCTCTCCCACCCCGAAGATGACCACTCTTCGGGTGCTGCTGCACATAGCTGCTCAGCGCGACTACGAGCTTCACTCTCTTGAATTCAGCACTGCTTTCCTGCAGGGTAGCCTGCACGAGGAGATCTGGCTGCGCCGCCCTCCTGGCTTCACTGGGTCGTTTCCTCCTGGCACCCAGTGGAGCCTCCGGCGGCCAGTCTACGGTCTCCGCCAGGCGCACCGTGAGTGGCACGACACACTGAGGACTACACTTGCGGCTCTTGGGTTTGCTCCTTCTACAGCCGACCCGTCGCTGTTTCTACGCACTGACACCTCTTTGCCGCCGTTCTACATCCTCGTGTACGTCGACGACTTGGTCTTTGCCACTGCTGACACTGCTGGACTCGCCTACGTGAAGTCCGAGCTGCAGAAGAGACACACGTGCACAGACCTGGGTGAACTGCGCAGCTACCTTGGCTTGCAGATCACCCGGGACAGAGCACAGCGCACCATTACCCTGACTCAGTCACACATGGTGCAGCAGGTCCTTCAGCGCTTCGGCTTTACGCACTCCTCGCCTCAGGCCACTCCTCTGTCTACTCGCCACTCGCTCTCAGCTCTGCCTTCGGATGAGTCCGTAGAGTCGAGTGGCTCGTACCCAGAGATTGTTGGCTGCCTAATGTACCTGATGACCTGCACACGACCTGACCTTGCATACCCTCTTTGCACCTTGGCACGCTATGTTGCTCCTGGGAGACACCGACCAGAGCACATGGCTGCAGCGAAGAGGGTGTTGCGCTACGTGTGCAGTACGTCGGGCATGGGGCTAGTGCTTGGAGGGCGACGTCGAGTAGTCCTCACAGGTCACGCTGACGCTTCTTGGGCTGACGACCGGGCTACACAGCGGTCGTCACAGGGTTACACCTTCAGCCTTGGCTCCGGCTCTATTTCGTGGCGGTCTACCCGCTCGTCCTCTGTTCTCAGCTCCAGCTGTGAGGCTGAGATCTACGCAGGGGCCATGGCTGCACAGGAGCTACGCTGGCTCACCTACTTGCTGACTAACCTAGGAGAGCCGCCTCGTTCTCCTCCAATTCTGTACGTAGACAACAAGGCCATGCTGGCCTTGTGTCGGGAGCAGAGACTGGAGCACAGAACGAAGCACATTGCTCTCCGCTACTTCCTGTCTCGTGAGCTGCAGCAGCGTGGTCAGCTCCGCCTCACCTACGTGGCCTCTGAGGCCAACACTGCTGATATCTTCACCAAGGCCTTCCGCCTTGTGATCATCAGCGCTTCTGTACTGTGCTAGGTCTTGTGCCTACCTGGCCTCACTTGCTCACTTCTTGATCTTGTTTGTACTTTCTTCTTTCTATACCTGCCCTTGCTTGTTTTACCTTTATATATATGACCTTGCATGTGAACTGGGCTTGTGGCCTTACTCTTGTGCTTGGACTGTGTGGTGACTTTGTGATCCACCCTGAGCTTGCTTTGCTTTGCTTTGCTTTGCTTGTCTGATCTTGTGACCACTTGTTCTCCCCCACTTTGCCTATGGGGGTGTGTCAGAACATTATAGCTTATACATTTGTGTAGGCTGTAGTGGGGTAGCCCATAAGGGGTACAACCCAATTAGGGTTAGTACTTGTACCCAACTGTTTCATAGTTCATTCATTCCATTCTCACTTCTCGTCACGCGCTTGTGTCTAAATCGTGTTGCGCAGTTCCCCGCGAGCTCGTCGATGCCATCTCAATAATCTCGCTTCCAGAGTAAGACGAAAAATGTTGTCTTTCATTTCGGCCTTGAACATAATTGATTTTGTATTTTTCTGCCCGTTTGTCCTGCGACATTGATCAACGCGGCAAACTGTGCGACGTGAAGTTGAAGACAGCGTGGTCCGAATGTATGTATGTGACAAGAAAAAACGACTAGTAGCGAGGAAAAATCGCTCTTCATGCAGATTTCCTTATACGGGACTATAAGTTCTCTTTTGCTTGGGGTTTGTGAGCTTTCCACAAAGGCCCGCAGCGCGCGTGTTTTTTGGGGGGACTCTAATCAAGAACATTTGTAGGTTTGGATCACCACCACCAATCAATCAGCACCAGCTATGTATTACTTGACCAATGGAATCAGGGCAACCCAGGCCACCCAGGAGTCACACCATTGTCCTAACGCCTATGGAACCAGATTCTAGAACCATCGGTTTTGGATTTGAATGGTTCAATCAGCAGCAAGCTTCATTTGGGCCCTGTTCGATAGCACTTTGGGCCCCCTCGATGCAACCATTTGGTTTGGCTCTGTCGCCCAAATGGTTCAGCGTCGCGACAAAATGCAAGTGGTTTAGCCGCGCCGGCAGTAAAATTATTGCGACCGTCCCACTGTCGGCTCAATCAACCAGTCCATCCGGGCCCTGGTGGAAGGAATCCCACCAGGTCCCCCTCCTGGTGGAAACGGGTTTCCAACAGGGCCGCACGCGGATGCCACGTGTGTCGCGACCCGCAGCTGGGAATCGCACGTGAGAGGGAATCCCCCGCCCCCTCCCAGGTCCCTAGCGAGATCCGGGCGGCGGAGCAAGCTGGCGGGGTGGTCCCGCGCCGAGCCCGGGCCACGCGAGCGCCACGCAGCGTGGTCCCAACCCCGGGCCCCCCCGGGCCCAGCCCTGGCTCGCGAAACCCCTCGCGAAACCCATCGCTCTCCAATCCGAGGGCGAGGGCCGAACCCCAGCGCGCCGAAACGGATCTGGCCAATCGGAGCCGTTTCCGAGTGGTCTGTCCCTCGGAGAACCCTCGCGAAGCATTTCGCATGCAAATCCGCGCGTGCGAATGGCAATTCGGGCTGGCCGAAACGGATTCGGCCAATGGGAGCCGGTTTCGGAGCGACGGGCGAATCGGCGCGCGTGCGAAGCCATCTCTGTGGTGCCCGAAATGGAGCCGGCCAATCGCCGTCGTTTACGAGCGTCGGAATGCTTGCAAGACCCTCGCGAACAATCGTTCGCGGAAAGCATGTTGAGATTAAATTTACGGAGCGGAGTGTGCGCCATTCGAAAGATCAAACGAAATAATCTCTAATGCATCGGGGAAATATTCAATTGCGAGTTTACGTGTAATATAACGGAGTGTAGTGTTAATTCGGGTGACCCGAATTGGTGTACCTGATCGTTACCTTGGACCTCGGCGGTCGCGACGAGGAAAATTCTCTCTCCGCGGGAGTTGGCAGCCCGCTCCGAACGGGGCTCGCGGATGGTGTGCAACGTGGCGGACGTTGGCTGCACAAGCGTGCATGTTGCGGAACCTCCCCGCTTGTCAAGTCGAAAGCGGCGCGGGGTGAGAGGCTCGCGCAGTTTGACCGCAAGTGCCGTCTCTTGATTCCCTCTCGGCCCTCTCTTAGGTTCTCGGTACGGGCACCTGGTGCTCATTTTCGTTCTCCGTCTTCACATCTTGTTTTCTTCCTGCTCGCCCGTTCCACGTAGAGGTCCTCATTGCCTAGTGCTAGCAGAGACCCTGCTTGGCCGCGTTCGCGCTTGGTAGCGTTAAGCTTAGCTCTTATTTTCTGCTGCGAGCACTGTTTCGCGTACCATTCGTCCTAGATACACCGTACCTGTGGTCGCGCTCTTGCGGTCGTATCAGTAATGAACCGCGAAATGAAGGCGCTTAGAGCTGGGTCGAAGGAGGCCGCCTCCTGTCCGGCCATCATCTCTGTTGCGGGAGCCACGGTGGACCTCCCCCCCGAACAGTGGAAGCTGCTCGCTGAGGATAAGCATCCGTTCACGGCCCGTCAGTTCGACTTTGTCACCGGGTGAGATCCATGCGTTCCATTCCCTGACTCCACTATGCACGCGTTGTTTATGGTCGCGATGATTAGGTTGTTCGCGACATGTCAGCAATATTTACTAGGGGGCAGTGCAGGCCGCGGCATACCTCCGCTGTGCTTTTAGGTCGCGTTGTTTATGGTTGAGCTTTTCCCCGCCGTGTTTTACACCGTCCCGCACAGCGTGATTGTCCGGAGGTATCTGGAGAAGGAGGTGCATGAGCACGTCCGAATCGTGACGAGCGGTGTTGTCGCGGACATAGTCGCGGGTCGCGATGAAGCGGTCCAAGCCTTTTTCGGTTTCATGGAGTGCAACCTGGTGGTTTTCTGCATCTGGTCCGAGTGAGTGTTCATTGGGAGTGTTCACTTGTACAGGGAATGCAATCGTTTACGTGGTTTAACGCGGTCGTCAATGGCACGTTCAGGGACTTGATCGACAAGAAGCGCTCGAACGCGAGCATGCTCATTATGCTTCACCCCGACCACCTGTCGCTTGACGATGACGAGACTTGGAACACGCGGTTTGTTCGCGTTGCTATTCCCACTGGTGGTGCGGAACACATCACCGCGGCGGAGGCGATTGTGGAGTGAGTACCGCGTACTGGTTTATCATCAGTACCACGTTCATTTCCGCTCCGTGGCTCATGTCGCTAACCGTGCGTTCGCGTGGATATGTATGTGCTTTTGGGCAGGTGGTTTCAGGGTCGCGTTGACGAGGATTTTGCGCGCGGCTCCATTCAGTGCACCCGCTCCCGCGAGCTTAAGGATCCCAAGCGTCTGTTGGATTTGGTACGTCTGTGTTGTGTACGTGTTCTCGATGACCGCGAATAGTTGCAGTGGTGCTAACAAACCCCATGTTATGTTTTCCAGGATGCGACGTCATTGAAGGGCTCCTGCGGCAGTCTCGCTTGTCTGATCGCGTTCGACAAGATCCTTGCCCAGTTGGACGCGGTCGCTGCCAGTGGATCCGGGCCACAATTTTCGAGGCCAACCGCGAAGACTCTGAATGCACTGCGGCATGAGGCGTACCAAATCGCCAAAGAGCTCGCGTTCAACTTGAGCGTGGATTTGACGCGACCCAAGCACGGCGGTGAGGCTGAAGGTGCTGAAACGGGGAAGGTGCAGAAAGTGGCAACGGGTGCGCAGGTTGCTGACCATGGTGTTCTTGCTCTCATAGGTGCCGCTGGTGTTTCGAACCGCGGAAGTGCTCGGGGGGGGACGGTGGTCCACGCTGATGACGAAGGGGCCGAGGATACCGCGACTAAGGGTGCAACCCGCGATGAGGCTGACCGCACTTTTGCGTGTGAGGGGGAGGAGTCGAGCGAGGAGGAGGTGGAGGCTCATGTGGTAGCGACCGCAGCATCCAGCAGGCCCACTACATCCGGCAAGAGCATCAAGCACCTCGCGTAGCACTTGGCCCCTGGTGCTGGAAGCGCGGGCCCGAGTGGTGAGGTCGCGGGCAAGAGTCCCGTGACAGGTGCGCGTGATCACGCGTCCCTGTCCTCGTTGCCATCGCATAAGCTTGCTGCCGAGATCCTGCAGCTCGAATGCACGCTTGCAGCGCAGGCCGAAGAGAACGCACGGCTGAAGAAACGCCAGGAGTCGGGAGTGTGTGGGGTCGCGGTCGTGGGCTCTGAGGAGCTTGCGTCCGCGCTTGCTAATGCAGTTCGGGTGTTGGAGAAGGAGGCGAGGGCGATCGTGCAGGAAAGAGCGGCCCTGGTCGATAGGCGTAACCAGGAGGCGTTGGTGCTGGGGCGAGTGGACGCGAGGCTGGGACAGCTGCAGGGGGTGGTGGCAGACTCCATGGAAACCGCTCAAAAGAAGCTAACGGACGAGGTTGCGCGGAAGATCGACAACATGTCGACCGCGGTCTCCGCGACAGCAGAGCGGGCAATCACCACCAGCGGGGTCACGAACGCGTTGCACACCCTCATCGCGCTCGTTGGAGGAGCCCCCCCGCCACGCACGGATAATGAAGGAACGGCCGCGACGGAGATTCCCGAGCCCGGGGATGCAGAGCATGGAAAGCGGGCAGCGGGTGCGAAGGCGGAGAATCAACGGGGGGCGAAGAGGCAGAGAGGTCCCCAGGCAGCGGCCGCGGTGCGCAATCCGAGCGTGCAAGTCATGCTGAAGCAGAAGTGGGGCGCTGCATCGCGAGGTGCAGCACCGCCTGGTCAACCGGGTTCGAGCTCGCGCTCCATCCCACCTGAAGAAGCTGCACCCAAACCACCGGGCCCTGCTGGGGCAACCGCGACAGTGACAACTACTGTGGGTCGGGGCAAGGGTAAGGCGGAGGATGGAGAGGCGCCGGCTGCTGCGGGTTCGCTGGCCTCGAGGCGTGAGGTCCAGTCCGCAGCAGCTGCTGCGGCAGAGGGCAGGCAGACCACGCTCGCACCTGCTCGTGCTGCAATCACCGCGGGAAATCTGCACAGCGCACTGGCATCTGCAGGTCCTATTCGCGGGAGCCGCCATCAAAGGATGGGTAGTAAAACAAATGGACATCGTAACGGCATTCCTTAACGGCATCCTTGAGGAGGAGATTTTTATGGCGCAGCCAGAGGGGTTTGATGATGGTAGTGGCAGAGTGTGGAAGCTGAAGAAGGCCCTCTATGGGCTGAAGCAGGCCCCTAGGCAATGGTACATGAAGCTGCGCGAAGTGTTGGAGGAGATCGGCTTCACTCCCTCAACGGCCGATCACTCCTTGTTCATGCTTGGCTTGGGAGAGCAAGAAGCAGGTTGACCAAGCTTTGAGCTCGGTGGAGTCCGAGTACATGGCACTCTTCCGTGCCGTACGGGAGATTGTGTGGCAGCGGCGTTTGTTGGCTGAATTGGGGGAGGAGCAGCAAGGACCTACCCCACTCTACTGTGACAGCCAGGGTGCCATTGCTCTTGCTAAGAACCCTGTGTTGCATGGACTCACAAAGCACATGAGGGTGAAATGGCATTGGACGAGGAGCATGGTGACCGCGGGTGAAGTTGAGTTGCGGTACGTGAAGACCACGGGGCAGCCGGCTGACATGATGACTAAGAGGCTGGTGGAGCAGCAGCATTGGAAGTGTTGCAAGCTGGCTGGGATGGCTCTGAACTGAGAGAGCAACATATCCTAAGGCCAACAATCCGAGGGGGAGTTTGTTGGTGCAACCCTACGGTTTGCACTCGGCTTGTTGTCCGTGTGCGTGCATGTGTGTGTGTATGGAATGGTATGAGGGCATGGGAAAATATATATTTCATGCTTATAATTGTGTGTGAATGTTGAGTCATGATGTCGAGTGTGTGTGTCGAGTCAATAGCGAGTTATCGATAGACGCGTGTTACGCGGTCGTTTGTGTCTCGCGCGCGGTTTCTATTTTTGTCGTGCGCGGTTTCTATTTTGTCCTGTGTCGAACGTTCGGTGTGTCGCAGGTGTGTGCAGCAGACCCATCAAGAACTCAAGGATGAGTTTGTGATGAAGAGCCCGAGCCTTGGTGTCAAGCCTCAAGTGATTACGAAGCTCGCCAAAAGGGTACACCTCAAGATATTGAAGATAGTTACATTACTTTGTGTAGTGTAACATTTCACTTGGTGTAGGCCCTAGTGAAGGGTAGTTTCGAGACCCTTCGTGGTTGGGGACAGTGTGGCACTGTTCCACATCACTGTACCTCGGCTCTTTAGGTTTGTAGGAGCTGGGAGTCATTCCCAACTCGTAACTCTTCATATCTCTTCCTATTTTGTGTTCTAAGACTATAGTGGCTGCCATAGTGCCGTTCGTTCAAACCAACACTGTGTCGTCAATACTTGGTGAAATTGTGCGATCTAGATTGCCTATTGTAGGCGACGTTCAGACGCTCCAGATCCAAGTTGAATCAGGTCATTTGAAGTTGTGACCAGAACGCTATGAACGTTTGAAGCCGCTGTGCAGAAATCCGACTGTGCACTCTATCTTTCGTTTTAGGCACATTGGAGCGTATTGTGACTATAACACGACGTTACGGCCAAATCGCAAATTTATCGTGCGTGTGCAGAACAACACACGACTGGATAAATGTGCCCGTGAAAACTCAATTGGGAGTTCGACCTGAGTTCAGTATCCTCGTGGTTTTCCAAACGCTGAGCCCCGCTTCACGAATTTCGCCAACTAACCTAGCGACATTCATGAAACCAATAACCAGCAAAAGTTCGGACTTTCTTCCGTGTCAAAATCCCAACCACTAGACCATTGGGATAAAAGGGCTTGTTTCATTAGCGGGTCAGTGCGCCCATAACCCCCAGGCGAACGCGCCTGTAACCCTCTCCAGGATCAATCCGGCATCCACAGTGCAGATCTACTGACACCCCCCCACACTGGGAGGCCCAGGACTTAGCACAGCGGCAACGGCCTACATGTGCATACACCGGGAATCGAACCCGAGACAGCTCTGATACCATGTCAGAATCCCAACCACTAGACCATTGGGATAAAAGGGCTTGTTTCAGTAGCGGGTCAGTGCGCCCATAACCCCCCAGGCGAACGCGCCTGTAACCCTCTCCAGGATCAATCGGGCATCCACAGTACAGATCTACTGACATTCCGAACATCTACACCAAAAGACACACGCCCTGACATGACTGGGCCACTTCAGGATGGTGGTAGGCAGATTAGGGCATAGAACCTTTGGGAATTTTTTCAAACAAACCGTATTTCCTGAACAGCTAAAAATGGTCTTGCTGGTAAACGACTTTTTACGTAAACTAGAGCACGTTTCGGAGCAGAAACCTTCCAAATCGTACCCGACTTCCCCCCAGATTTTCCACGTCCTCATGGCTCGTAACCAGCGGCGGTGTTCGCCAGCACAAGACAATCCAAAAAAAAAAAGACGGCATTGTTATGGCCGTGGAATAAGAAACCGGGGGCGGAATGCGCAGATTAGGTTTGGGTTGAATGCCACTTTGTGAACTTTTGCATCTGAAATGGGAAACGTGGCAACGGGATCAGGAATCCCCATCCCCACCTTCCCCCCATCAGGATCACGTGCCAACCACATCACAATTTGAAGGCAATTTCCCTTGAAATGGTTTATTGTGATGGGATGGCATGAGGCGTAATGGTTGCCCAGGGGCGAAATTGCTTCCCCGTTTCCGAATGCCATGAAGCTGTCGGAAATGGGGGGAAATTCAGAGCGTTCGCCAGGCCTTCGAGATTCCATTTAGGTCGGAAGGCATCATAGGTCTGGCATGATTTTTATGGGCTGACCATGCTGACGAACTCTAACGAACCATAATTGACGAGATCAGAAAGGCATGACCGACCTTCGTGGTCCCACCATATTTGTTATTAGTTTTGCTGGCGACACCGCCGATTTGTGTTACATTGTTCTTATCCACATCTTGAACTTGTTTGATAACGATATCATCATAAACGAGAGGAAACCGGTCACGACTTATTCCCAACCAGCCCATGTTACAAAGCGAACCGGACAGTTGACACTATTGGTTGGCTGAAGGGATAAGGATTAATTTTATATTATGGTCTCAAAAGTACAAGAAAAATGAAAATACTGGCCGATTTCAGTGGATTATGATTAATATTATATTACGATCATAACCAGTAACTGAGAATACAGATAATCTAGCAAATAGTTGGCGCACGTGGTAAACACTTTACTTTCCTATCCTAGTGAACATGAACCAACTTCGTTGAGGAGTATTTTGTAGAAGGGGGAGTTGTTATTTTCAAATGATATGAAGCATAGCTGTCTAGCCTTAAGCTAGAGCACGTTTATGAGCGGAAACATTCCAAACCATACCTGACTTCCTCAAAATTTCCACGCCCTTGTGGTGCGTAACCAGTTTGTGTTCTATTGCTCTTATCCACATCTTGAACTTGTTTGATAACGAGATCATGAATACATGAGGGGAAACCAGTTACGACTCATTCCCAACCTGCCCATGCTACAAAACAAACCAGACGGTTGACACCATTGGCTCGCTGTAGGGATAAGGATTAATATTATATTTGTCAAGGGGAGTGTTGTGTGGCCCCGTCCTCGCTTTGGCGGAGCCGACCTCGTGGTCGGATGTGCGGGGGATGCAGTGACATACAACAATGGGCACGAGGGCCACTGCAAGGGCACTGAGCTGGAGGGCGCCGAGCTGGAAGGCGCCTGGCTGGAGGGCGTCGAGCTGGAGGGCGCCGAGTAGGAGGACGCCGTCTTGGACGTCTGGACGGCGTCCTGGGATGCTGGACGCCGACCTGGGCGTTTGCACGGCGTCCTAAGAGGCTGGACGCCGACCTACGCGTCTGTCAGAATATTATGTTTCTCTAGTCTGCAGTGGGGTACTCTATAGTGAGTACAACCCTTTTAGGGTTTACTATATGTATCCCAATGTTTGCTAGTGAACCCCCCCTCTTCTTCATTCCTCATTCCTTGACAGCGTCTACACGGCGTCCTGGGCGGCTGGTCGGCGCCCTGGACGCCTGGACGCCAGATTGGGGATGCCGGGCATGTGCAGCCGGCGATAGACAGGGCTGGTCGACTAGGCGCGGCTGCCTGGTCGACCGGGATACCCGGGCGACGTGTGCGAAGGTCGCTGGGGTGACTTGTGCGAGGCCGACCTTGGGGGTGGTATCCCGAGATCGACGTGGCTAGTGGGCGCAGTCCATGTCGTGGATTCTGCCAGGCGTCTGCGCTGTGCTCATGACTAGGTGTGGAGCACCAACCAGATGCACGCACTTGCGAAGCAGGTGCACCGTTGTCCTGCGGGTGCAACGCTGTGCAGCCGACTTGCTGCAGCGTTGGCACACCATGGACCTGCAACGTTGGCAAGCCGCATCTCTGCAGCGCTGGAGTGGTGCGAACTCTGCTGCGTTGGAGCAGTGCGAACTCTGCTGCGCTGGACTTCGGTCGACCGTGATACGTTGGAGGTCAACCAGCAGCGTTGCTCATTCTGATGTAGTCTCCCATGCCAATGTTGTACTCATCATCGTTGTCAACTTTCTTAGTGAAACTCTTGCAAATTTGCCCCATGAACTAGCAAGCAGTGTGTGCACTAGGAAAACAACTAAGGAACGCAGAGGTCATACGAGCACCCGTGCCTAGCTCGTAGTCTAGCTCCCATTGATAGCAGTTGTCTCCGCAATATTATGGTCTTAAAAGTACAAAAAAAAAAGGATAATACTGGCCGATTTTAGTAGATCATGATTAGGATTATATAATGATCATAATCGGTAATTGAGAACACGTATAATCTAGCAAACGTCTAGTAGGCGTACGTAGTGAACACTGTACTTTCTTATCCTAGTGAACAGGCACCAGCTTTGGTGGGGAGTATTCTGTAGAATGGGGATTTTTTTCAAATGATATGACGCATAGCCGTCTAGCCACGCGAATGCGTAAAGCTTCCCCCCCTCCGTCGATTGTTTGGAGCATCGCTTGGAAAAATCGTGGAATTCCAGGAGGAACCGAGCAATAATGAGAGACACGATTACGAAACAAGAGGAGACGTCGTTTTTCTATTTATGCGCATAGAGAGCATTCCAAAAGGCCTTGGCAGTAACGCCAACTAGTAGGCTCAAGGGGGCAGTCTGGCCAGCTCGAGAGGGGAGAGGGAAGAAGATGTGCTTGGTTGGGGGGGGGGGTGTGATAAAAACGAGAAATGAAGAAGAGAGGAGGTTCACTAGCAAGCAGTTGAGTACATATAGGAAACCCTAAGTTGGGCTGTACTCACTATTGAGTACCCCACTGCAGGCTAGACAAACATAACATTCTGACACACCCCCATAGCCAAAGTGGGGTGTAATCAGCACAATGAGCAAGCAGGCATAGAGCAGGAGTTCACAATAGCGAGCAAAGCTAGAGTCATTCACAAAGGGCAAGTGAGGAGGAGGAGGCGAGACTGTAAGAGGAGAGGAGATAGGAGGCGACGGCTGAAGCTGCAGACACACGGGCAATAGGAGTCACACTAGCACATCGGCTACCCGAACAGCGCTCCGGACTACTGGAGTAACTGGCTCCGCGGCTAAGACTAGCGGCAGACGAGCAACGGACCCACGGGCGACTGGCACAGCTGGCTACGACTGGGCTACCGGAGCAGCGCCCCGGACTACTGGTGCTGCTGACGACACGACGACAACCTCCGTTCAACCAACCTCCTCCAGCTGCCCCACACCTCTCGACACACACCCCCTGCTCAAACCCTAGCTCCACTCCCATAGCACCCCCCTTACACCCTAAACCGCAGGCTCACACACATCCACCTCCCTCAAAACCCTAGCTCCACTCGCACAGCACCCCCTTTAAACCCTAAACCCTAGGCTCCCACACATCCACCCCCCTCAGTGACAGCTGCAGCAGTGGGAGACGAAGGAGGAGGAGGAGGAGGGGAGACCACACACCCGTCACCCCCTACTCGCCACCCCCAGACCCTAACACAGGGCAGGGCGGGACGGCGGGTAGGGAGGTTAGGGGGGGGGGGGGGGGGGGGGGACGCGCGGTCTCCCAGGGCGCCAAAACAGGCGGCAGAAGGGGCGATGCTCGCCCCCCTCCCCCAGGTCGCGCGGCCACCGAAGGAGCCGCGACGGGCGACGGGAAAAGGGGGGGGGCGGTGCACGTGCCCCCGGTGCGCCGCGGCTGGCAACGGGGCATGGCCGGGGCGGGGCCGGGGCCGCAAGTGGCGGCGACGGGGCCGCTGGAGGCGGCGACGGGGCCGCTGGTGGCGGCGACGGGGCCGCTGGCGGCGGCGACGGGGCCGATAGGAGCGGCGACGGGGCCGCTAGGGTCGGCGACGGGGCCGCTGGCGGCGGCGACGGGGCCGCTGGCGGCGGCGACGCGGCCGATAGGAGCGGCGACGGGGCCGCTAGGGTCGGCGACGGGGCCGCTGGCGGCATCGACGGGGCCGATAGGGGCGGCGACGAGGCCGCGAAGGGGCCGCGAGGGGCCTGGAAGGGCGGCGACGGGCCGCAAAAGGGGCGGCGACAGGGCCGCGAAGGGGCCGCGAGGGGCCTGGAAGGGCGGCAACGGGGCCGCGAAGGGGCCGCGAGGGGCCTGGAAGGGCGGCAACGGGGCCGCTAAGCGTAGCGCGAGGGGCACGCCACGGGGCGTGCTGAACACAGAGTAGCAGCGGAAGCAGTTAGTGATGGAAAGCGCGTGAATCTGGAGAGCGTACAAGAGATTAAGTCCGCCGACTTCGACGGAACATTGCGTGCAGCTCACGTGACCTTAAACTATGAGCAGGTATGCGTTGGAACGGTCTTAATCTCTACTTTCCAGAATGGTAATGCACGCTTTCAACCAAGATCTATGCCAATCGCTATCGCGATTTAAGTGCGACAGTGTATTCTGGCGGAATTAGTAGGCAGCCATGGATTAGACCAAAAGACTAGCTTTAGCAAGAGTTCAGATCTGAAAAGTGACGAGTTGTTCAAACCCTACCAACCCAACCCTCGCCCTACAACAATCCCCAACAACCCAAAGTGCTAAACTAGCAACACCAAAGGTGTTGTAGTGAATAGCAAAGGTTTGTTGGTGCTTGTTGGGTGCGAGATCAATACCAGCCCGCAACAAGTCTAACCACCACATTTTGCCCAAACCCTTAGCCCACAACCAGCTAGAGCAAAATACCAGAACCACCTACACAATCAACACTCCCCCTTGCTCGTGCTGGAGGTGGCTGAACACCACTGGGCAAAATCCTTCACTTCACTCCCCCTTGCCCAGGGAAGGGCGCCATCCACAGCATGAGGTCGTCAATGCAGAGAAGCACCAGTCCTCCCACATCCTGCTCAGGCACCATGCTGACATGGGGCTGCATCCCCATCAAGGACATGCACACACCATGCCGCTCAAAAGGGAGGGGTTTGGTGAGTATATCTGCTGCTTGACGGTTGGTGGGGCACCACCGGAGGATCACCTCGCCGCACGCCACCATCTCCCTGATGAAATGCCACCGAACCTGCATGTGCTTGGTGCGGCCATGCAAGCATGCATTCTGTGCAAGGGCAATGGCAGACTGATTGTCCACAAACACAGGCACACCACCAGCAAACTCATGCCCAAACTCCCCAAACAAACGCTTCAGCCACACACCCTCTTGAATGCACTGACACAGACTGATGTACTCACTCTCAGTGGTGGACAATGCAACCACCGGCTGCCTCTTGCTCTGCCAAGAGATGGCTGCACCATTGAGGCAATATACATAGCCGGTGTGACTCTTGCGATCAGCTGAATCTCCAGCATAATCAGCATCACTAAAGCCCACCAACTCGACCTGAGGCTTGCTGTGTGCGGGGTAGAAGATACCTGACTTGACACAACCTTTCAAGTACCTTAGCACTCTCTTAGCAGCCTGCAGGTGAAATGCCTTGGGACAAGACACAACCTTGGACAGCTGTGACACTGCATAAGCAATCTGCGGCTGTGTGGTCGTGCTTGCATACATGAGAGACCCCACAATGCTTTGATAGAGCCGGACCAGCTCATCTCTCAGCAAGGGCTCCTCAGCATGTGCATGCACGTCGAACCCTGCGAGGAGAGGGGTACGCACGGGGTTAGCCTCTGAAAGCCCGAAGGACTCAAGCATGTTGAGAATGTACCTCTCCTGATGAATCAAGATGCCACTCTCATCACGCTCAATCTGCACCCCCAAATAGTACTTAGCCTCCCCCAAGTCCTTCATGCGGAAACGAGAGGACAAGAGACCCTTCACATCGTCCAGCAAGACCATGCTCGAAGACATGAGCAGAATGTCATCCACATAGAGGTAAAGGGACAGCCTGCCCTCATGCCTCACCAAGTGGTACAAGGCGGGATCACACTCCGACCTCTCAAACCCAAAATCCATCAGCGCCTCATCAAACTTGAGGTACCACTGCCTTGGAGCTTGCTTTAGCCCATAGATTGATTTCTTGAGTCGGCAAACTCTGCCGGACCCATCATCAAAACCAGGTGGCTGCCTCATGTAAAGCTCCTCCTTCAAGACCCCATGAAGGTAGGCGGTGGTCACATCCATGTGATGGATGTGAGACCCCGAGGATGCTGCCATCCCAAGGGAACCTCTCAGGGTGGTAGGTTTACCCACCGGGGTATATACCTGATCATAGTGAACGCCTCGTGTTTGAGTGTTCCCCATGGCCACCAACCTGGACTTAGGCCTCTCAATACTCCCATCAGCCATGTGCTTATACTTCCACACCCACTGACACCTCAAGACCTCCATTCCAGGTGGCACACAAGCTGGATCAACCAGCTCAAAAGACTCGTTCACCATATGAGACTCAAGCTCCTCACGCATGGACTCGACCCACTCAGGACGGGACAAGGCCTCCTTGACCGACTTAGGCTCATGCACCTGACCCATGAGACAGAAATCAAGCCCAAGCTCACCCCCCTCAGCATCTACAAGCATGCACTCCTCCATATCATGCACCTCATGATCATGCATGCAAGCATACTGTGCACTTGGTGTGAACCTTTCGGGTGGCCGGGAGATGCGTGTGGTGCGGCGCAGAGGTGATGCCTCCCCCTGCTCCAAACTTTGCAGCTTCTCCTTCCAAGTCACTCTCTTCATGGGGGACCGTGGTGACTTGGACAGCTGCTGCTGCAGTATTTGCTGTCACCTACCCACAGGAACAGGTGGTGTATGCTCCTGTGGTGGCTGCTGCGGCTTCTCTTGTTGCTGCTGCTGCCCCTGTGGCTGCTCCGGGTCATGGGCTGGTGCGTTAGGGTCAGGGGTAGAACCAGCAGTTGGTGACTCCTCATGGTGAGGTGCAGCTGCCTTTTGTTCCTCTTGCTGCTCCTCTACCTCCTCTCCAGGGTCCTCCCATGCCCCCTCAAAGATGGAAGAGGTGTAGGGATCCTGAAGGGAGTTCCCAGCTGTACTAGCACCATGCTCTTTCCACCCCTTATAGCTCAGCCCCTCGTGGAAAACCACATCCCTGCTTTCCACCACCCGCTGATCCGCCACACTCCACAACATCCAAGCTTTGCTCCTCTCCGACACCCCAAGAAAAATGCCCCATTGTGCCTTAGGATCCAGCTTCCTCCGTTGCTGGTCGGGCACTTTGTACTGCGCCATGCACCCCCACACTCGTGCCATGGACACACTAGGCACCTTCCTGGTCCACATGAAGTAAGGGCTCTTGCCCCCTAGCCCCTTGCTGCCCATTCTGTTCTTAACCCAGTTGGCATATTGCACTGCTGCCCCCCACCAAGTATGGTCCAGCTGCGCATGAGCAAGCATGGCTCGGGCAAGGTCAATGAGGGTCCGGTTTAGCCGCTCCGCTGCCCCATTTTGCTGCGGCGTGTAGGCGACTGAAAGCTGGTGAGTGATGCCCTTGTCTTCAAGGAAAGACTCCAGATCCTTCCCCATGTACTCCCCACCCCGATCGGACCTAAGTATTTTCACCTTGGCCCCGACTTCCCTCTCCGCATAGCGTATCCAACGCTTGAACACCTTGGCCACCTCATCCTTGGCCCCAACTTAGGCGGCTGAAGTCATCCAAGAAGGTGATGAAGTATTTGCTGCCCTTCTCCCTATCCGGTGTTTGCATGGGGCCACACACATCCGTGTGCACCAACTCAAGAGGTGCGGAGGCTCTAGTGGTGGAGGTAGGGAAAGAGGTCCTTGGCAGCTTCCCAGTCGTGCAATCAGGGCACTTGCTTAGCTGCCCACCACCCTCCTTGATCTCCACACCCTTCAGCTCCCCCTTCTTCACACACTCCACAAGTTGCTGCCTTCCTGCATGCCCCATGTGTAGGTGCAGCAAATCTGTCGTCACCTGCTCCACGTCCCTCCAACGGCTGCTACAAGCGGCTTCCTCGGCTTCAACTCCATGTGCCCTCTCCACCTGAGGCACACAAACTGGAACAAGGTATAGGCCCTTCTCTAATTTGGCCTCCATCACCACAGCTCCACCCTTGCGAACGGTGCCACCTTCCATGGTGAAGGTGCATATGTATTCTTGCCTCGCAAGTTGAGAGTATGAGAGAAGGTTGGCTGCCAAATCAGGAACATGAAGCACACCCTTCACATTCAGCACCTCCCCCTCCTTCCCCATGACGGTGATGGTGCCGATGCCGATTGCTTGCAGCGTATCTCCGCTCCCCACAATCACATTTCTGGAGTAAGGTGGGAGGGAGTGATAAGTGGTGAAGAGGTCGCGCCGAGGTACCATTCCACAGGTTGCTCCAGAGTCTAGAATGAGCTGATTGGGGTCAGCCAACGTACGACCAGCAAGCGCCGTCTCCTTCTCTAAGGATAAGAAGGAGAAGCCATCATCCGATAAGTCCTCCTTTCCCTTCTTATCCTCGTTTGCCGCCGCTGCTGCCGCTTTCTCTTTGCTGCCCTTCTTGTTCCATGCTCCGTTCTTCATCCTCCTCTCCACCCACTCAGGCCTAGTGACAGGTGGAGCCTCTCCTGGGTACCCTTGAGGCTTCCACCCATCTGGTCGACTCCAGCACTCCTTCCAAGAGTGCTTCCGGTTGCATCCAGGGACGAGGCACTTGTCGAGCTCCTTCTTCTTCCCCCCACCTCCGTGCAGCTGCTGGTATTTCTTGGAGGCAACCCTATCACCTGCCCCCATTCCCCCTTCAACTCCTCTACCAGCATCACGCTTGCGAGCCTCATCAGAAACCAACACCTCCCATATCCAGGCCTTGGTCCATTTCTGCTGCTCTAGGTGAAGGTATTGTAGTAGAGCCTCGTTTGCTTCTTGGTCCAGCCCCTGGAGTGCGGTGTAGATGATCTCCTTCTCATCTACTTCATAGTTCAGCTCCTCCAATGCCCTCACATACTCATCCACCCTCTGGAGGTACTGCACCATGGTCTCCCCATCGCCATAGTTGCGTTCCATGGTGTAGAACCGCTTCCTCCAGGTGAGTATGCTTAACAACCCTTTTTGCAAATGTCGATCTTGAACTCTCTTCCATGCTAGTGCAGCTGCTCCTTGCTTGCCCTTCAGGTCAATCAGCATCTTTAGGAGCTCTAGTTGGCCTTCCAAGGCCCAACACAGGTACTGGAACGCTTGCTTGTCCTTGCGGTCCCATGCTTCTTGTGCCTTAAGAAGCTCCTCTGTACTAAGCCGTTGCCTTCCGGTTCGCGGTGCTGTTGGTCCACCTCCACTTCCCTCAGTTATGGATGAGCTAGAGGCTCCCCCAGCCCCTTCTCCCACTTGGCTAGAGACTCCAGTAGATGCCTTTCCTTCATCAGCTTCAGGTCTTCGCTCCGATCCCTCCAAAACGCCTTCTAGGTCTTTGATACCTAGCCAAAGCGTAAACTGGAACCGCCATAGCGAAAAATCCGAGCTGGTGAACCTAGGAGGGCCATCTAATTTCTGGGCCATAACCAACCCTAGATCTGGAGATTCTTAAGCCAATTCGTAATATGATAATAGGAGGGAATGTCGCAGGCCTAACCAGCTCTGATACCACTGATGGAAAGCGCGTGAATCTGGAGAGCGTACAAGAGATTAAGTCCGCCGACTTCGACGGAACATTGCGTGCAGCTCACGTGACCTTAAACTATGAGCACGTACGCGTTGGAACGGTCTTAATCTCTACTTTCCAGAATGGTAACGCACGCTTTCAACCAAGATCTAGGCCAATCGCTATCGCGATTTAAGTGCGACAGTGTATTATGGCGGAATTAGTAGGCAGCCATGGATTAGACCAAAAGACTAGCTTTAGCAAGAGTTCAGATCTGAAAAGTGACGAGTTGTTCAAACCCTACCAACACAACCCTCGCCCTACAACAATCCCCAACAACCCAAAGTGCTAAACTAGCAACACCAAAGGTGTTGTAGTGAATAGCAAAGGTTTGTTGGTGCTTGTTGGGTGCGAGATCAATACCAGCCCGCAACAAGTCTAACCACCACATTTTGCCCAAACCCTTAGCCCACAACCAGCTAGAGCAGAATACCAGAACCACCTACACAATCAACAGTTAGGTGGGACCACAGGCCAGGAGCGTAGACGCTCTGATAGCATGTGATAAAAACGAGAAATGAAGAAGAGAGGAGGTTTACTAGCAAGCAGTTGAGTACATATAGGAAACCCTAAGTTGGGCTGTACTCACTATTGAGTACCCCACTGCAGGCTAGACAAACATAACATTCTGACAGGGGGGGGGGGGGGGGGGGGGGGCAGCCCAAGTGGAGATGGGCAATCGAACTCAACGTCGAGGCTACTTTACAGCTCGATGGAAAAGAGGGATGAATGGAAATATGTCCTTATGCTACGTCTCAAAAGATCCTCCTGCCGGGAAAAACGCCATGTACAAAACAAAATTGAGCACCTCCACTACCTCGTTAAAGTCCGCGTCTCATATTTCACAAGTCCCAACCAAGTGTAATACGCTTGAAACCGGGTGACCACTCAAGTAGTCGCAACTTTGTTGGGTTTGGTTGGGAGCACTTGCGATTGGCTGCAGCCCCAATAGGCTGGGCAAGGCAGATGCACGACTACCAAACTGCATTCGCGTGAAAAACACCAGCAAGTACGACGAAGGCAGAGCACACAAGGAATTAAGCGTAATATCACGGCAGATTTAATATGAGATAGTTGGGCAACCACTTTCCATTCTAGCCCTAGACTCTTCTCAACACCTTAGTTTAGGCTAGGGTTTGTTCATGGCTGTTCAATACTATTTTGTACAAAAATATACGCAGATCTACATGTGTTCGGACGACTCATCGTACTGGTCGATCGTACGGCTATTCCCTGTGCAAAAACCAGGAGGAAGAAGCGGCACTTATAGAACGGAAGGGATAGCATAGCAAAGCATATCCGTACGCGCGACAAAAACGAGAAAGGACAGAAGGAACAATACGGGAAGGGACGCGACGGGACGGGAAGGGACGCGATGGAAGGGGAAGGGGCGCAACAGTGCAAGAAGAGATGTGACAGGACTGGACGGGACGAGACGGGACTGGACCAGGCAGGACAGGATCCGACGGAATCGGTGAGGACCCCGCTGTCAGAATCCCAACCACTAGACCATTGGGATAAAAGGGCTTGTTTCAGTAGCGGGTCAGTGCGCCCATAACCCCCCAGGCAAACGCGCCTGTAACCCCCCCTAGGATCGATCGGGGATCTCACAGTGTAGCTCTACTGACACCCGCGGGACAGGACATGACAGTACGGGACGAGACGGACGGGATGGACGCGACGGGACGAATTGGGACTGGAACAGATGGGAGGAAAGGGGAGGAGACACACCGAAATTGGATGGATGAGGCAGGACAGGAAGGGGAGGGGGCGGGAAGGGATGTTGAGCAACGCGCAATTCTAGGTCCCGGGTACATCCAGGAGCGGGAAGGGAACGGGAAGGGAATGGGAAGGGACAGGAAGGGACAGGACGAAAAGGTGAGGAAAGGGACGTGAGGATATGCGCCGAGATGATAAGGGACGGGAGGGGGCGCGGCCTGTGAACGGGTGTGAACGGGTTCAGTGGTGCGGCAGCAGCTGCTGCTGCACATCCGCCCCATCCCCCTCCTCTTCCCCCATCCCCCGTCCCTTCCACGTACCCCCCTTTCCGCCCCCTATCTCCCTTTCCCTTCCCTTCCCCCATACATCTCTCCCATCCCCGCATCCCCTTTTCCCTTCCCCCATCTCAGTTTCCTTCCCCGTAATCCTTGCTTTCCTTCCCCCATCCCCTTTCCCTTCCCCATCCCCCTTTCCCTTCCCCCATCCCCTTTCCATTCCCCACATCCCCCTTCCCTTCCCTAATACCTCTCTCCCTTCTCCACATCCCCTTTCCCTTCCCCCATCTCAGCTTCCTTCCCCACAATCCCTGTTTCCCTTCCCCCATCCCCTTTCCCTTCCCCATCCCCCTTTCCCTTCCCCCATCCCCTTTCCCTTCCCCGCACCTCCCATTCCCTTCCCCCATGCCTCTCTCCCTTCCCCCCATCCCCCTTTCCCGTTTTCCCGTCCCCCTTTACCTTTCCCACATCTCCCTTTCCTTCCCTAACACCTCTCTCCCTTCTTCGCATCCCCCTTCCCTTACCCCATCTCCCATTCCCTTCCCCCATACCTCTCTCCCTTCTCTGCACCCCCCTTTCCATTCCCCCATCTCAGGGTACATTCCGCGCTGGACATGTCCCAATCGAAAGTATCTCAATCGTTTCTACCGCACTGCAACGTATTACACCAAATTGCACCCTAGTTTTATAATTTTTGCGTCTCTGGTTTAGTTCGGTTCGGAGCGGTATACTCGATTGGGACACATCGACTGGGACAGTGTCCACAGCGGAATGTACCCTCAGTTTCCGTCCCTGCAATCCCTATTTCCCTTCCCCCATCCCCTTTCCCTTCCCCATCCCCCTTTCCTTTCCCCCATCCCCTTTCCCTTCCCTGCATCCCCCTTCCCTTCCCCCATACCTCCCTCCCTTCCTCCCATGACAGGATGCACGGGAAGGAGGAAGGGACAAGTCAAGACATCTCAACCTCCAGCGTGAATCGAAGGGTGCAACAGGCAAATAACAGGCAGAAGTGATGAAGTGGGGGGGCGTTCCATGTGCCTCTTGCTCACTGCACGATCACATGGGTTGTGCCAGCCACACTTACTCGCTAGTTCTTTTTCGTATGTAAATCACTAGAAGTAGGAGCGTCGATTCTAGTTTCCCTACAATATTCTGACCTATAAAAGGTTGCATATTCTGAAACATACATATATAAACCCTAAACATGGGTTATGCTATTCCTTCACGCAACACTCTCAATTTCCACCATAAACTGCCTACTAATTGCTTGCAATACCACAAACATAAATGACATATTACGGAACTGTACAAAGTACCACTAGGGTCCAAGGCATCGACCACTGCATCACTTGTCGCTTCGTTTCCTTGGATTGACGCGAGTGCTCTTTCGTGCGACTCTCGAACCTTTTGTACTAGCTTGGTGCATCCCAAGCCTTTGTGCTTGGTTCGCTTCTAGTTTGGCTCTGTTCAGGTGTTGTATGATTTCTTCTTCCTCGTCAACTTTCATTTTGTGCCTCGCCAGCAAATCATTTGTACCGTATGCGAAGCAAACTAAAGGTGCTACGCTTGGAAAATTGAGACGCGGGTTTTAACCGACTCCAATTAGAGAACACGAGAGAGAACTAGACGGAACGTGCGGCGGTAGTCAGTGATAGGAGTAGAGAGGGAAGCAGTGAGGGCTGACTCAGGAGGAGAAGGAAGCACAGACGGCGACGAACGAGGCGGAATAGGACGGAACAAGACAGTACAAATATCAGTGAGAGGGATAGGGGACGAGGGACGAGCACGAGGAGAAGGAGAAGTCCAAGCGTGAGAAAGAGGTGGGGACAATGGAGGCTGAGAATGGGGGAAAACAGCTGGGGCGGGGTCAGAAGGAGGAAACGTGGAGCGTGCTAGACTTGAGGCTGTGGACCTCGCACAGGTACGCTCCTGTGCGTGCGAGGAAACGTGGAGCGTGCTAGCTCCAGAACCAGGACCTCGCACAGGTACGCTCTCAGCTCCAACTCCAACTCCTCTAGAGCTAGCACCTCCAGGGTCCTTGCCACAAACACCGGCTCCCGTAGGGTCTGCAGTAGGCTGTGAGGAGGACTGCAGGGAAGGAGGCTGCACCTGAGGGGCTACTGAGGGGGGAGGGGTAGCGTGGGACACACCTAACGGGGCTGGACTAGGAGGGGGAGGCTGTACTGGGGGAGTAGGAGGGGGAGCTGAAGTCAAGAAGAGAGGGGGAGGGGGAACCGGGAGACCTCGACAGGGGTACCGGACGTAGTAAGGGATGGACTCATCGAAACGGACGTCACGAGAGTCAAAGAACTGGTGACGGGGAGGGTGGTAAAAGGTGAAGTCAGAGGAGTCCTCTGGGAAACCAAGGAAGACAAAGGGAGTGGTGCGAGTCGAGATCTTGTCCGCGGAGGTGTCACGAACAAGTGCCAAGCAACCCAAGACACAAAAATGCGACGCAACACCAAGGGACCCGTTCCAAAGACTGGTCGGTGAAACGTCTGGCTGAGAGACACGAGGCCAGAGGTTCAGTTGGTGAGCGGCGTACCGAACCGCATAGGGCCACAGAAAATGGGGGACACGGGCGTGAGTCAAGGAGGTGCGGGCAATCTCCATGACCAAGCCTATGTGGCGCTCAGCAACCCCATTCTGCTGTGGGGACTCTGGAAGCGTCCAGGATTGACGAATGCCCTACTCGCGACAGAATCCAGCGAGAACGCCGGAGCAAAACTCACCCCCGCGGTCGGAGTGAAGACAGCTGACACGACGACAACAAGTATCCGCAGTGGTAAGCAACCACCGGATCAGCATAGAAGTCACCTGGGACTTCTTCGCCAGGGGGAACACTGTGGTGTAGCGGGAGTAGTCATCAACGACCACTAGAAAGAAATTCTCTGGCGAGCGGCGGGGCCCCAAACGTCCAAGTGGAAAGTCTCGAAGGGCTCAGTGGCCGGACGAAGGGAGGAGTGAGGGGTGGCGCACGTCCGACCCTCAACGTAGGGACCGCAAGGTGGTGCAAGCGAAGGTGGCATCGATGGCAAGACTCGCGGAAGGCCTAAGACAAGACGCTGACTAGACATAGCGCGCAGGCGAGGAATGGACGGGTGCCCCAAGCGGTGGTGCTACAGAACGGTGGGGTGAGCAAGCAACCGGCAGGAGCAAGATACAGCAACTAGACCAGATACGGGAACCTGAAAAGGCACAACTACCTGGTGAGACACGGCAACCTGGTGACATGGGGGAACCTGACGGGGGGCAGTGACAGTGGTCGGGGGTAGTAGCTATTGCTGCTGCGGCTATGGTTGCTGCTGCTACTGCTGCTGGTGCTGGTGCTGATGCTGCTGGTGCCCTCGGGGCCCAGTGTGAAGTGTGTAGAGACCAGAGCTTGGCTCAGCGGTAAAGGTGGCCAGAGGCGCGTACGTGTCCCCGTCGACACAAACCGCAGTCTCGGCAGAAGGCTCAATCCACACACCCACGTGACAACTCACGAGTGGCCTCACACCCACCAAGTTCTTCGAGAACGAGGGGACGTGGAAGCCCGTCAGGAAACCCGAGGGAACTGCTAGGCACGGGAGCGTAGTAGTGTAGCGAGCAGTGACTGGTCTCGAAGTGGGATCAGCCAGTGCTACAGAGACCGGTGCAGGAAGCGGAGTAAGCGTCGTGTGGTCGCGGAAGAAATAGTGCGAAGCCTCGGAGTCCACATTGAAAGACTGCGAAGTGTCCTCTGGAGCAGCTCCTAGACTAGTGTCTACACAAGTACCTACGTTAGCAACAGGCCCCTCAGCAACACTAGCACATAAGCTAACAACACTCGAGTAAACAAAGTCACAAGCACTAGAGTCAACAACTGCATACATAGCATGAGGAGTTCCTAAGAGATAAAGCAACTGAGAAGCCGACATGCCCCACAGAGCGGGGCCGTACGTCTTAACAAGGGGAAGCCAGTCAAGGGTAGGGCTGCCAACGCCGTAGGCCGCACGAAGTGTGTCAGTGAGCTAAGCAAAGCACTGACCCGGTGGGTGGGTGCAGCCACAAGGGAGGCTTCGGCGAGCACCTGTCTGAATGAGATAGGTGCAGGGAGGGTGGACAGCACCACGCGACGGCTGGCGCGGTCCTGACCCCTGCCCGGGAGTCTGCTGCTGCCGCTGCTGCTGTTGTGGCTGCTGCGAGAGGAGTGGCTGCTGCGAGAGGAGTGGCTGCTGCTGCTGCGGATTCAAGTACCAAGCCGCCACTCCAGTACCTGCAGCTGGTGGACCAGTGGGTGCCTGATGAACCCGAGCGTCACCTCCACCAGCTGCAGCAAGGGAGTCACTAGCCACTGCACGAGTGGCTCCTCCTGTTATAGTCACAATAGGCTCCAATGTGCCTAAAACGAAAGATAGAGTGCACAGCCGGATTTCTGCACAGCGGCTCCAAACGTTCATAGCGTTCTGGTCACAACTTCAAATGACCTGATTCAACTTGGATCTGGAGCGTCTGAACGTCGCCTACAATAAGCAATTTAGATCGCACAATTTCACCAAGTATTGACGACACAGTGTCGGTTTGAACGAACGGCACTATGGCAGCCACTATAGTCTTAGAACACAAAATAGGAAGAGATATGAAGAGTTACGAGTTGGGAATGACTCCCAGCTCCTACAAACCCCAAGAGCCGAGGTACAGTGATGTGGAACAGTGCCACACTGTCCCCAACCACGAAGGGTCTCGAAACTACCCTTCACTAGGGCCTACACCAAGTGAAATGTAACACTACACAAAGTAATGTAACTATCTTCAATATCTTGAGGTGTACCCTTTTGGCGAGCTTCGAAATCACTTGAGGCTTGACACCAAGGCTCGAGCTCTTCATCACAAACTCATCCTTGAGTTCTTGATGGGTCTGCTGCACACACCTGCGACACACCGAACGTTCGACACAGGACAAAATAGAAACCGCGCACGACAAAATAGAAATCGCGCGCGCGAGACACAAACGACCGCGTAACACGCGTCTAGCGATAACTCGCTATTGACTCAACACACACACTCGACATCATGACTCAACATTCATACACAATTATAAGCATGAAATATATATTATCCCATGCCCTCATACCATTCCATACACACACACATGCATGCACACGGACAACAAGCCGAGTGCAAACCATAGGGTTGCACCAACAAACTCCCCCTCGGATTGTTGGCCTTAGGATATGTTGCTCTCTCAGTTCAGAGCCATCCCAGCCAGCTTGCAACACTTCCAATGCTGCTGCTCCACCAGCCTCTTGGTCATCATGTCAGCCGGCTGCCCCGTGGTCTTCACGTACCGCAACTCAACTTCACCCGCGGTCACCATGCTCCTTGTCCAATGCCACTTCACCCTCATGTGCTTTGTGAGTCCATGCAACACAGGGTTCTTAGCAAGAGCAATGACACCCTGGCTGTCACAGTAGAGTGGGGTAGGTCCTTGCTGCTCCTCCCCCAATTCAGCCAACAAACGCCGCTGCCACACAATCTCCCGTACGGCACGGAAGAGTGCCATGTACTCGGACTCCACCGAGCTCAAAGCTTGGTCAACCTGCTTCTTGCTCTCCCAAGCAGTTGGGCCTCCACCAACACAGCATATGAAGCCTCCCACACTTGTCATGTCCTCTGGTTCCGATGCATATGACGCATCCGAGTAGGCGGTGAGGAACAAACGCCCGGGCTCAACACCATCCGCGCCCTTTTGGCGCCTTTGTGCCGCCGCCGAGTATTGCAGCCCAACGGTCGGTGTTTGGCCAAGATACTTGGCCACCCTCATTCCAGCTGCTACCTGCTTCTCATTAGGGCATTGCACAACCCTAGCCAGCTGCCCGGTGGCAAACGCGACGTCCGGTCGGGTGTTTACCGCCGCATACATGAGGCTGCCCACCAACGAGTGAAATCGGCGCCTCT